TCACCAACTGCGAATGCTAGTGCCAGCATCCCATCTGGGTGCCAGCTTGAGTTCCAGCTGCTCTACTTCCAATCCATCTCCCTGCTAACGCACCTGGGAAAGTAGCAGAAAATGACCCAAATATCTGGGCCCAGATGGATCCAGATGAAACTCCTGGCTCCTGGCTTCTCATCTGAGCCAGCCCTGACTGTTGTGATCATTTGAGAAGTGAACCAGCAGATTGAAGAACTCTTCCATCTGTCACTCTGCCTTTTCAAATAAACAAAATAAATTTAAAAAAAAAGATTAATAGCTATTACCTACCTTTTTCACATTTTTTTTCTATTTTTTTTTTTTTTTTACTGTTCAGCTTTGGATTGCCAAGAAGAAATATTTTTCATTGTTTATTTGTTTTCCTGCATATTTGTATATATGTTTTTTTAAAAAAAAGATTTATTTATTTGAAAGTCAAGAGTCACACAGAGAGAGAAGAAGAGGCAGAGAGAGGTCAGTCTTCCATCCACTGGTTCACTCCCCCAATTGGCCACAAAGGCTGGAGCTGTGCTGATCCGAAGCCAGGAGCCAGGCACTTCCTCCAGGTCTTCCTATCTGGGTGCAGGGGCCCACGGACTTGGCCATCTTGTACTGCTTCTCCAGGCCATAGCAGAGAGCTGGATCAAAAGAGGAGCAGTCAGGACTCAAACCGGCACCCATATGGGATACCGGCACTGCAGGTGGCTGCTTTACCTGCTACACCATAGCGCCGGCCCCTGTATATACTTCTAATAGCTTTTTCTGTCTTAATTATTTTTTATTTTCTCATCAATCAACTATATTCTCATGTTTATTCCCAAAATCAGCAAATTCATATTTCCTGAGTTGGCAATCTCACAAAAGGCTCATCCCTCCACTTTTTGGTAACAAACAGCCACACCAACAGTTTCCAGGTCATTGATTTTTTTTTTTCCTTAAACAAGCCATCATGTGCTAATTAGTGAATTGGACTGTGTAGTGGCTCAGGCTCCAAAGTCAAAACTGAGTTCAGACCCCAGCTCCAGGCAGTGACTGTGACCAGGGACAAGTTACAGGACCCCTTGGATCCATGGTGTCTTTGTCTACAGAAGGGTGGCCATACCACTCAACCCAGCCCATAGGTTTGTTGTGAGAGTTAAGTAAGGCACTCAAGTCCTTTGCAGTTGCCTGTATGCCTGTTTTTTGTAAATAAAGTTTTACTGGTACAAAGCAAAGCCCACTTGTTTGTGTTGTGTCTCTGGCTGCTTTCAGGCCAGCGGCACAGTTGAGTGGTTGCAACAGATTATATGACCCACAGAGCCTAAATTGACTATCGTTTAGCCCTGTAAGAAAAATTAGCCAATTCCTCATTCAGAACATAAATTCATACTAAATTGTTTTAAGTTTGTAAACATTTTCCTACCAGATTATTAGGCTTATTCTTTATTTAATACTTTACACTCAGTGTCTTAATATTAAGAATTCAGTGTATAATAGCTTTTTTTGTTATTGTTTTAAAATACTCCACTTCAAATACTGTCTTGGGAGGCTTATTTCCTAGTGAATTATTTTAAATATCTTCCAGCCTTTCAAACCTCATCCAGTAATGAGAAATTTTCCCACACATGCCTTCCCTGCCATCAAACTAATGAGTCACAAATCCACTTTGGATTTAATTTCTATCTTTACAGTGACAGTTTGGGTGGGAGAGAGAAGGAGCAGCCTTTGATTTGGCGTCGCGTCTGAGGTATCCTGTCTTCACTGCTGTAGACCAAAAGCTTTCTACATTGAAAATTACTGCGCTCAAATCTGAGGGAGCCCAGATTCCCTAATCTGGATGCTATAATGTTACTATTTTGGTTTCAGCTAGTGAGGTCCATGCTTTCAGCTGTTCCAGTGCAGATTTCCCCAAAGGCAAAATAACAAGTTTGCATTGTCTCAGCCAGGGAAGGCAACCCACTCGGAGTGTGGGATTTCAGGGAGAGGTGGAGGATGGGCACCACCTCTGCTGGCTGAGACTCTTAAAGAACCGTTTCCAAACCCTGTGGTCCAGGGAAGGATCTGAACTGGCCGCCCTGTCACCTGCATATCAGCTGCTGAATCTGGGCTTGGCACCTGCCACGGGTGGGGGTGTCAGTGCCTAACACAGCAGAGCTGCTGTCGTGAAGGGAGAAGGATGTTAGGGATGCCTTTAAAAAAATTGTTTATTTGAAAGTCATAATGACAGACACAGAGAGAGGGAGGCAGGCAGAGAAAGGTCTTCCATAACCTCTGGTTCCCCAGATGCAATAGCCAGGGTAGGGCCAGGATGATGTCCAGAGCCAGGAACTCCATCCTTCTCTCCCATATGAGTGGCCAGGACCCAAGTACTTAAGCCATCTTCCCCTGCCTTCCCAGGAGCATTAGCAGGAAGCTGGATCAGAAGCAGAGAATCTGGGACTCCAACCAGCATGCTGATATGAGTTACTGGTGTCACTGGCAACACCTTAACCCATAGCACCACCACAGCAGCTCCAGGCATGCCCTTTTTTTATAGGAAAAAGAAAATCATAAGAACTTACATGGGCCTGAGCTTCTCTGTACACACAGTCTCTGAGTTACAATGATTTGACTTGGGATTTTTTTCACTTGACCATGGTGTGATACATTAAAACTGTACCATGAATTTTGAATTTAGATCTTTCCCAGGCTGGTGATATACAGTACAGTGCTGTCTGGTGAAGCTGGGCAGTGGTAGCAAGTGCAGCTCCCATTCAGCCCTGTGATCAGGAGAGTGAACAGCAGGATATTCAGAGGTCAAGTGCCTCAGATGCATTTGTAACTTACGGTAGTTTCCACTTAGAGTGGATTTGTTAAGACATAGCATCATTTAATCTAGGGAGCATCTGTGCTAAGAAATGTAACCAAGAATAAAATAAAATGCTGTAAGTAATCCATACGACTAGAAATTTGCACATTTTGAGTTTTTATAAATATCGCATTTTAGATCTGGACATCCTCTAGTCCTGTTCTTTCAACACATATGAAAAATAAGAGGTGGCTGTGTTTACCACATAATGACTTAGCAGCAAAGCCTCATGGAAAAATCAGGTCTCCTACTTCCATGCAGCCACCTTCTGGAGTCCACCACATTCTATTTGTGGATTTGAGATGAGACTCAAGATTGTGGTCAGAATATACTTTCAGACACTATAGCTTGTATAGGTAACTCATTTCTTTAAAAAAAAAAAAAACTAAGCATGTTCAATAGTTACTATATGTTGTATAATACATATCCATGACCCATTTTTTTGTGTTTTTGAAACACTTATGGTCTGACACAGAATTTGCAGCTTTTATGAATGCAAAAACCATGCAGCTTTGTAGATCTTACTCATACCAGAGTATGACGCCAGTATTTGAAAATAAAATTCTACACATTACCTTGATATTTTCTCTATCAGCATCAGCATAGTTTCTAATCAGTTAAATATCACAGGTCAAAATGAACTCCTTCATACACATCGATGTAAAATATTAACCTAGAATTTTTAAGGTGTTGGCCAGTATTAATACAGAAGCAGGACTAGACTTTGGTTCTTGCTTTGTGGCTTGAAGCAGTATAAAAGATACACAGAGGTGGCTAAAATGCTTAACATGATCAGTGCAACTTGACACTGAACTTTGAATTTCTTCCAAGGTTTCCAAGTCACTGAAAATCATCCAGATTTTTCCCCCACGTCATAGATGTGAGCAATCTGTGTGCCTTTTATCCTAACATCTTAGTTACCCTTTTGAAAGTTGCCATCTGAAAAAGCGCTGTGGAAATAAAGACCTTCCTCCTCTGCCAGCCCGTTAGACTGTGTCTTATTTCCATAGATAGCATAGTTAGCAAATTAAACATGTATCATCTTTCTTTATTCATTTTACCAGGACAGACTATAAACAGGACCTTGAAAATACATTAATGGAGAGCTTTGGGCAGCTTGAGATTCTACTCTTGTCATGAGTATTTATGCTGTGTCGTCTTTCTCCTCACATTTGTCTTTTAAAATGCAAAAAAAAAAAAAAGTTTGTTTAGAATTAGTTCTGTATACATTATGCATCCTATGATTGTCCTGTAAAATAATACAAAGTAGTAGTGCTGAAACATTAGTATTCTCTGTTGTTTCTTTGTATTGTTGTTGTGTTTTCAGAGTACAACACTTCACTTGAAACAATCATCCCTAGTCTGAAATACCACTCCCAGTTTCTCTTTCTCGGTAATTCAGAAAAGGAGTCTCCTCCTTGTGTTTTCTGAGTTCAGAATAATGTCTGGGAGGCGGTTTTTCTCTGAGATTTTTCAAAATAGGAATCATGTCTCTGAGATGTCCAAGACTTTGGAGCATAAGTGATTCTAGCTCGCCAGCTGTAGGGGTGGCTGCAGATTTTAACAAAACTCTGTTCAAAATGACTGCAATTTCCTCTCCATTTCATGAAATGTATTGCATTTTCCTGCCATCTTAAAGAGAATACTTGAACAAAATTTAAACTAACCTTCATCTCCTGCTCTGTAATTCACTGAAACTCTCAGCACCTCTTAGACAAGTGTGAACTTTGCCTTCTACAGCAAGCACCTTAAACCCTGAGAACTTGGTGTCTTGGGGCCTCATTTAAGTTTTTTTTATGTATATGTTTGCTGTCTCTTGTGTCTGGTAGAATACCTGCCTTCAGCATCCGTATTTCTAATTATAATTTCTAATTTCCACTTCTGTTCTGCCATGAGCTGGAAATTGGTAACCACACCTGACAGAGCTTTGGTTATACAGGAGTAAGTACAGCAGTTAAGGTCCTCATGGGCTTTTCCTGGAGGTCCTAACAGCAGCAGCCTCCCCTCTTTCTGGCTGCCCAGAATCCTTCTAGTTCGCAGCCTCATTCCTGGCTGTGTTCCACAAAGGTCAGAGATGATCGGCTACCGTGCACCCTAAATTTTGTCCGATGTAAAGAGAAGTTTTCAGAGTAAAGATTGAATGAGAAAGATGTAGCCCATTTTTCTTTTTATTTTCTGGTTTTTAAAGACTGCATATTTTCCTTAGGATGAGTCAGATGTCATTTATTTTCAAGTTCAGGATGAGACATTGAATACAATTGTGGGGTTAATTATTTTAGTGTTCAAAGACAGCTCAGTGCTTTTTTTATCATCTGAGGTTTTGAAACCTCCTCTGAAAAACTACCCGTTGGCAAGCTCTCTGCTGTGCCGTCACAGAGTAAATCACTGCCGTTGGAATTGTCATCTTTGCCCTATTTCCTGTTTGAGGGGGGGAAAAACAAAAACAAAAAACAGTCAGGATTGACATTCAATCTTAACCCTTAATGGTGCTTTCTTTGTCATTTTCTGCCATTTTCCCAAAGAAAAGAGTTATTAAAAAATTGAACTTGGGGAGACATGATATGATATTATTCAAACATTATCTGTTTAACCTACATATCAAGTCAATCCTGATGTTAACTTAAGAGTTGGAATTTTTAGCTCTATTACATGTTTTGCTTGTGAGAACCATCAGAATATGTGCATATTTTAAGCATCCATGTTTTAAAATGTTTCTTGACCATGCAGCATTAACTGTGAGTGGTATTATGAACAGCAAAGCCCTCATAGCTTCCTGGATTAGACCTATTAGTGTTGTTTAGATAACACACTTTGAATTACTTCCTCTCAGGAAACATTGAAACTGGAAATGTTAACCAGGCACACATACCGAAGCACTTAGACAGAATGCATTGTTTCTTTTACTATTAAAAAAATAATAAAAGAGGAAGGAAATTATGCAAATAAATCTCATCTGTAGAAACCTAAAGAGACCAGCTCAACTGCCAAAGGAAGAGCATTCATTTATGGGATTCTTCATCTGTCACTGACAGCAACCACAAAACCAGTCGCTATGTGAGTCTCATAATTTATGCAGGGCTAATAGCCAGTGTTAATGATGACATCAGAGTTGGAAGCATGGATTAGTACTCACATATGTTACACATTTTTTTGTATAGGAGTAAGAGTAAGTTACTAAGAAGTATACACATACACACGCACACACAAGCTGGCAAATCCATTGACTGTGCCAGATAGTGACATTTAATAAGGGTAACTTGGATTTGTTTCATTTGTACATGCACTGTCTGATTCACGTCTGCAAAGCTGGCAGACTTTTCCAGTTCATTTTATGTGCAGTCCTTCACAGACCTATAATTTCTTCATTCTGGAAGGTATATCTTCATAAAGTAGGGGAAGTACTGTATCAATTTCAAGAGATAGAAACACATGCTTTGTTATTCCTTCACATTTTCGAAGCCCTGTTGGCTCCCTGTATTTTTACTGGAAATAGTTTGCTCTATCAGAGAACATGTGTGTGTGTGTGTGTGTGTGTGTGTGTGTGTATTTCTCAAATCTCACGAGCATCTTTTCTCTCAACATCCCTGTCTCCATCCTTATCCAAATGGGTGAACTGCCAAGTTTTTTACAAAGTTCCAATAAAAAGGAAGTACAGCACTGCAACTGAGTTTTGCAGACTATTCTAAAGTGATACATTTTGAATCATGTCCATATGTTCACTTCCTTTTGAGCTATAACTAATGATATTTCAGGCTGTATTCTGACATGAAGTTTTATTCTAGGAGACCATATTCAATAAAAATTTAAGCAAGTCCTCAGTACAGAGACAAGGATAATGCTTACAAGTTGAGGTTTGGGCTTCAAGACAGTAGTGGAAGAAAACTTAGAAATAAATGTAAAAATATAGAAAGATGGGGCCTGCATGTTAAGCAACTGCGTGCAATGCCAGCATCCCATATGGTCACCAGTTGAGTCCCAGCTGCTCCACTTCCGAACCAGCTCCCTGCTAATGCACCTGGGAAAGCAGCAGAAGATGGCCAAAGTCTGTGGGCCCCTGCATCCATTTGGGAGACATGGATGAATTCTGGACTCCTGGATTCAGCCTGGCCAGGCCTGGCCATTGTAGTCATTTGGGGAGTGACTCAGCAGATAACAGATTCTCTCTCTTCACTCTGTTTCTCTCTCTCTCTCCCTCTCCTTCTCTAATTCTGCCTTTCAAATAATTAAATAAATCTTTAAAAATATAGAGTATGAAAGGTAATATAAGACAGAATTACAGTAAGTTTTATTGTTAATAAAAGTATTAGTAGTAGTGACCTCCATTCAGAGAGCGTACCATGCAAGAACAGTGTGTTCTCTTGGTCGGCAAAATAGACATGCTGTTTCCATTTTATAGCAGCCGCCTGCAGCTCAAAAAAGTACAGCACTTAGAGGTCCCATAACACTAAGAGCAGGATTCAGACCAAGCTTGCATTTAGTTAATGGTGTTGTACCAGGTACTGGTTTTGTGCTAGTCAAATTCCAAAGGCCATGATTCCTTCCACTCACCTATACCTGGGATTGGCAGTTTTTCTGTAAGAGGACAGAGAGTAAATATTTTAGAATTTGGGGTTAAACAGTCGCTTTTTCAGCTACTCAGTACTACCATTGTAGGATGGAAACAGCCACAGACTCTTGACAAGTAAATGTATGGATGTATGGCAGTGTCCTAATAAAACTTTATTTACAGTTCAGATAGTGGGCCAGAATTAGACAACAGGCAATGATTTACTGACCTCTGTTCCACAGTCGCTGCCCACCTTATTCACTGTTTCACTTACCCAGTGTCAATCCCAATCTGAAAATCCTAAATGGAAATTTTCAGAAATAGACAAGTACTTCACATGACTCTTATTACAGTATATTGTAATATAAACATTGTACCTCATTATTAGTTTTTGTTGTTAACTTCTCACAGTGCCTAATTTATAAATTAAACTTTATCATATGTTTAGGGAAAATATTGTATAAATAGGTTTCAGTACCATATATGGTTTCAGGAATCCACTGGGGGATGGGGGTTGGAACATATTTCCCACAAATAAGGAGGCCCTACTTTAACTAAATGCCATCTTGAAACAGAAGCTTTAGGAAAAAGAAAAACGTTTAAAATACTGGCAAATAATTCTTAGTGACCAAAGTCACCCAAGTCAAGAGAGTGAAGTAACTGAAACCTTGGCGCTGCAAGTCCTCGAGGAGAAGGAAGCTGCCTCTCCTGTGTGCCAAATGCTGTCATTTACAAATGATTTATCAGCTTTCGAAACAAAAAGCCCTAATCTGTATTCCTCAAAACTGTCGAGTTTATGAAAAACAAGACCAAGAAACTCACAGAGAGGATTACATGCAGTGTGGTATCCTGTTTTGGTCCTAGAATAGAAAAAATACATTCATGGGGGGCGGGGGGACGATAAAACCCAAATAAACCTTGCTTACCGTTATTGTACCAGTGTGTTAAATGTGCCTTGGTCAATGTAAGTTTGTTCACGGAAAGCTGAGTGTGGAACCTACAGGAACTCTATCAAATCTAAAATTATTTTTTTGCAAATCTAAAATTATTTCAACTAAAATATTAAAATTTACTTATTTAAATTCCTAGGCTTACTCCAATATTTAGAAGCCTAGCATTGAGCCAGTGAATACTGAGTCTGAAATTAAACATTGTTAAGTATTGTTAAAAAATAGTAATAATCACACTTATCTGACTCACCTAAAACGGACTTTAATCACTGGCAGTGTGAGTTGCCAAAACAAAGCAATGTTGTGCTGTCATTTACGTCCTTTACGCTCCCACACAGACATTCACTTCTCTATGGCAACAACAGAGACATTTGTTTTTTGTAGTGCTAATGCTGATTGACAAATTGCTTCTTCCAAAGATTAAAAGAGTTCAGAGATGACCTAGAACAGAAGGTAAGAAATAATTTGTAAACATTATTCTGAGGCCAGCATTGTAGCATAGCAGGTAAAGCCACCACCTGCAATGCCGGCATCCCACATGGGCTCCAGTTCATGTCTTAGCTGCTCCACTTCTGATCCAGATCCCTGCTAATGTACCTGGGAAAAGCAGCAGGTGGCCTATCTTCCATGGAAGATGTGGAAGAAGCTCCTGGCTTTGGCCTGGCCCTGCCTGGGGTATTGCCACCATCTGGGGAATGAACCAGCCAATAGACGAGCTCTCTGTCTCTCCCTCTCTCTATGTAATTCTGACTTTCAAATAAATAAGTAATCACTTTTAAAAAGTTATTCTATCCAATTTTCTTTTAAAAATGAAGATTTATTTATTTACAAGAGTTAGGGAGAGATAGACAAAGATCAATCTTCCATCCACTGGTTCACACCCCAGATGGAAGCAACAGCTTGGGCCGGGCCAGGCTAAAGCCAGGAGCTTCTTCCATGTCTCCCACATGTGAGTAGGGTACTTCTGCTTTTCCCTTGCCATTAGCAGAGAGCAGGATCAGAAATGGAGCAGCCAGGACACGTGAACCAGTGCCCATATGTGATACCAGCGTTGCAGGCGGAGACTTAACCTGCAACACCAGTGCCAGCAAGAAGATCACTGCTCAGTAAACAGTATGAATATTGTCATTTTACCCACTTTTTCATTAACATATAAGAACAGTTTCATTCTCAGGCTTAACATTAGCCCAATATCAAAGCCTGATAAAGGTGGCATAATAAAATTGTAGATCAATATCATGTGTCTAAGATACATAAATGATAAATACTATAAGACTGTTTTGCAATATTGTCATAAGTATACCATGATCATGTAAAAATTATTTCAAGCCTGTAAAATTATTTTAATATTTGAAAATATATAATATAAAATCAGTACATCAAAATTAAAAATGTATGACTGTATACCCAGAGAGTCACTTCTTATGAATTTTTAAGATTCAACATCCTAATTCTTTTTTGCATATGTTCCTGTGTAAGTGTACCATAATTTATTCAGTCAGCCTCCTAGGTTTAAGCATCTATGTTTCTAATATTTTACTAATACCAGTAATGCTGCAATAAGTAACATTGTCCACAAAACTTTCATACATTGGAGGAATGTCTTCAGGGTAAATTCTTAAACAGAGGATGGCTGAATGGAGGTTTAAGTACATGCACTGTTTTGATGTGATGGTGCCCAGATCCCCACCACAGGGCTTGTATCATCTTGCATTCTCTCCAGCTCTGGATCAGAGTGCCTGTTACCCCATAGCCTCGTCCACTGAGTGCTTTGTCAAGCCTTTGACTTTTTATCAGTGTGGCAGGTGACAAATGGAAATTCAGTGTAGTATTTTTTTAAGAATTATTTATTTGAAAGAAACAATGACAGGGAGGGAGGAAGGGAGCACGAAAAGCATCTTCCATTCACTGGTTTACTCCCAAATGGCTGCAACAGCCATAGCTCAGCCAAGATGAAACCAGGAGTCAGGAACTCCATTCTGGTCTCCCACATGAGTGCCAGGGATCCAAGTACTTGAGCCATCTTCCAGTGCTTTCCCAGGCTCACTAGCAGGGAGTTGGATTGGAAGTGGAGCAGCTAAGACTCAATCCAGCACTTTGATACAGGATGTTGGTGTTGCAAGAAGCTGCTTAGCGTAATTTTAATTTGAGTTTCTCTCATTATGAGTAAAGTTGAACATCTTTTCATAGGTTTAAAAGGCATTGTGTTTTTTTTTTTTTTAATGAATTGGTTTTTAATGTTTTTCGCCTATTTTTTCTCCAGCATTTTTGGTCTTCACTACTTAAAAGCTGCTAATTCATTAGGGGTATCAGCTCTCTATCTGTAACATTTGTTGCAAGTATTTTCTGTCAGCCTGTCATTTGCCTTTTGACTTTGCTTCTCTTGTTTCTTGTCACCCAAAAATTTTTTGAGTCAGAATAACCACAAGGAGGTTTTTTGTTATTGGATCTAAAAATGTGGGATAAAGATGTAGAAATTTAAGTGGTTATGAAGGAAAAGTAGCTCACTAGGATAAATGTCCCCAAAATAAATTTAAAAATATTTATACATTTGAGTGTGTGTTTTATAGACTTACTATATACTAAAATTGAAAATTAGTGAGGAAAGGTATGATTATTTGGGAAATATATTGGACATACAGTTAATTGTTTAAATAATCCACAAAAGAAAAGTCAGTTAAAAAAGTTAAATAATTATAAGTGGAGCCATCAAAGGACTAGAAGGAACTTGGCAATTATACCAGCATTTCTCAGCCTCAGCACTATTGAACCTTTGGGGAGCTGTCCTTTGCATTGTAATGCATTAACAATATTCCATACGCAGTGGATGCATGTAGCAGCTCACCCAGTCTCACGGTGATCAAAAACGTCTTCAGACACTGCCAAAGTCTTCATGATTAGAAGTGGAGGTTAAAATCACCCCCAGTTCAAAACTCCTCATCTGTATCTTCTCAACTAGAAGCCTACCACCCAAGAACAAAATCACAAAGGAGAGTGTTGAAAATGCTGATTACATTGAAAGAAAATGTTTAGGATTTAAAGAAACTGTAACATTTAAATTTAAGCAACAAGGTGACATTCCAGGTACGTAAAAAAGTAATCAATAAGAAGATATCTAAATAACCAGATAAATAAATACCCCAGAAAATCATTATACTCAATAACGGAAGATACTTAAAATAAAACATGAATGAATAAATTCAGGATGCATGATTTACCTTTCACATCGGTAAGCACGAAATGAACTTAGCATACATATGAGGAGACATACTTTCATGAAGTAGTAGAAATATAGATAAATGTGACATTGATGAGCTACAATGGTCAGTCCATAATCAACCTTTCAAGTGGATGCACAGCCACAGCTTTTGTTCATGCACTTCTACTTGTGGTACATTATCCCAAGGAAATAATTGAACTATCAAGAAATGCATTGCCGAGGCTGACGCTGTGGTGTAGTGGATAAAGCCACAGCCTGCAGTGTCAGCATCCCTTATAGTCACCAGTTTGAGTCCCGGCTGCTGTACTTCCAATCCAGCTCTCTGCTATGGCCTGGAAAAGCAGGAGAAGATGGCCCAAGTGCTTGGGCCCCTGCACCCACATGGGAGACCCAGAAAAAATTCCTGGCTCCTGGCTTCAGATCGATGCAGCTCCATCCACTGCAGCCAATTGGGTGGATGGAAGATCTCTCTCTCTCTCTCTCTCTGCCTCTCCTTCTCTCTCTGTGTAACTCTGACTTTCAAATAAATAAATAAATATTTTTAAAAAGAAATACACTGCAGTATTATTCATAATTGCTTAACATTCAAAAAACCCATCTAACAAAGGAACTGGTCAACATAAATTAAGCCATATCTATTCATTAGAATACATTCAATCAGTGTTACAATTGATGAGATATATTCACAGGGGGGAATGAGTAGATGATACTCAGTAGCATAATTTTGTATGTATGTATTTATGTAACTGAGCTGGATGAGTAGATCTCATTTCATTTGTTTTTATATAATATTGTTAACAGTTTAGTGATAAGACAGTATAGATTTTTTTCATTTTTATATTTACATTGTCTAATTCTTCTAATGAATATGAATAATTTATATAATAAAAAGAAAAGGAAGAAATAAAACATTTTTAAAATCCTTTGTGTCAAGTACAACTTTTCAAAGTTTAGGAAAATTATAAAAAGTGCAAAATTAGGAGGTGGGCATGTGGCACCGTGAGTAAAGCCTCCGCCCATGACACCCACATCCCACATCAGAGTGCCTGGGATCAAGTCCTACCACTGCTTCCAATCCAGATTCCTGTAATGTGCCTGGGAGGCAGCAAATGTTGGCCCAAACACTTGGGTTCTACCAAGAAAGTCTGGATAGAGTTCTTGGCTCCTGACTTCAGCCTGGCCCAGCGCTAACCATTGCAGGTGTTTGAGCAGTGAAACAACAGCTGGATGATTACTCCCTCTCTCTCTCTCTCATTCTGCCTTTCAAGTAAATAATTTTTTAAAAATCAGTAAAAATTTTAAATAATAAATATTTTCTACATTGGTGTTTGTAAATGCAGTATTCATAACTAAAAAGACATAATCTTTTTTTTAACTTTTATTTAATGAATTTAGATTTCCAAAGTACAGCTTATGGACTACATTGGCTTCACCCTTCCATGACTTCTCTCCCACCCGCAACCCTCCCCTTTCCCGCTCTCTCTCCCCTTCCATTCATACCACGATTCATTTTCAATTTTCTATATATACAGAAGATCAGTTTAGTATACATTAAGTAAAGATTTCAACAGTTTGCACCCCCATAGAAACACAAAGTGAAAAATACTGTTTGAGTACTCGTTATAGCATTAAATCTCAATGTACAGCACATTAAGGACAGAGATCCTACATGAGGAGTAAGTGCACAGTGACTCCTGTTGTTGACTTTACAAACTGACACTCCTGTTTATGGCATCAGTAATCTCCCTATGCTCCAGTCATGAGTTTCCAAGGCTATGGAAACCTTTTGAGTTCTCCGACTCTTATCTTATTTAGACAAGGTCATAGTCACAGTGGAAGTTCTCTCCTCCCTTCAGAGAAAGGTACATCCTTCTTTGAAGACCTGTTCATTCCACTGGGATCTCACTCACAGAGATCTTCCATTTAGATTTTTTTGTTTGTTTGTTTGTTTTCCAGAGTGAAAAAGACATAATCTTAATGTCCCAAAATAATTATCCATATGATAGACTGCTGTGCATGTGAAAGGCAGATAAGGGTGTTTTTAAAAGTCTAATACACATACATATTATAAAAGAATGTCTAACCACATACATATTATAAAAGAATGGAAGTGTCTGAATTTATTACTAAAACCCAGAGCAGCATTCTCCCCCATAGGTGTATGTGTCTGTCTTGATAGGAAGTTCTTCACTTCTTGTGTGAGTTGACCAATGGAAACGAGCCTAAAATTTGATTTCTCCTGTTGTAGGTTGCTTCCGGTGAATGCAATGAGGACACCGAAGTTTACAACATCACCCTGTGTACTGGGGATGAGCTCACTCTCATGGGGCAGGCAGAAATCCTTTATGCAAAGACTTTCAAGGAAAAGTCACGACTCAACACAATCTTCAAAAAGATTGGGAAGCTCAACTCCATCAGCAAGCTGGGAAAAGGCAAAATGCCGTGCCTCATTTGCATGAACCACCGGACCAACGAAAGCATCAGCCTCCCCTTCCAGTGCAAAGGCAGATTCAGCACCCGAAGTCCTCTGGAGCTTCAGATGCAGGAGGGCGAGCACACCATCCGGAACATCGTGGAGAAAACCAGGCTTCCCGTGAACGTGACTGTGCCAAGCCCTCCGCCCAGGAACCCCTACGACCTCCACTTCATCCGCGAGGGGCACCGCTACAAGTTTGTGAATATCCAGACCAAGACGGTGGTGGTTTGCTGTGTGCTACGGAACAACAAGATCCTCCCCATGCACTTCCCTTTACACTTGACCGTTCCCAAGTTCAGCCTCCCAGAACACATGGTGAAGGGGGAGGTGTGGCCCGAAACCCTGATCCATCACTGGCTGGGTATCTGCCAAGAGCAGTTTGACATCGACGAGTATTCACGGGCTGTCCGTGATGTGAAAACGGACTGGAATGAGGACTGCAAGAGCCCCAAGAAGGGCCGGTGCTCTGGCCACAACCATGTGCCCAATTCCCTTAGCTATGCCCGCGATGAGCTCACCCAGTCCTTCCACCGGCTTTCCGTCTGTGTGTATGGCAACAATCTCCATGGCAACAGCGAGGTCAACCTCCACGGCTGCAGGGACCTGGGGGGAGAGTGGGCCCCCTTTCCTCATGACATCCTGCCCTATCAGGACTCTGGTGATAGTGGGAGCGACTACCTTTTCCCAGAAGCTAACGAAGACTCAACGGGCGTCCCAGGCAAGTCAGAACTTCCTTACGAAGAGCTGTGGCTGGAGGAAGGCAAGCCCAGCCAGCAGCCTCTCACCCGCTCCCTGAGTGAGAAGAGCAGATGTGAGCAGTTTCGAGGCTCCGGCCGGTCCAAATGTGCAACCTCTCCTCTTCCTGTCCCTGGGACTCTGGGAGCCGCAGTGAAGTCTTCAGATATTGCCCTACCTCCACCTCCAGTGCCTCCCAAATCTGAAGCCGTAAGTCATTTTTTTCTTTTGAATGTATAGCTTTATTTATTTATTTTTGTAAATACAATGTTAGGAATATAGTGATTATTCCCACCATACCCACACTCCCACCCCTCTTCCTCTTCCCTCTCCTATTCACAGTCTTATTTTTTACTAAGATCTATTTTCAATTAACTTTACTAATAGTATTCACATACTGTTAACTCTATACTAAGTAAAGAGTTCCACAAATTGTATGGGGAGAAAAAAAACTTCCTCAACAGTCGAGACAAAGGCTGTTCAAAGTCATTGCATCTTGAAGTGTTAATTTCACTTCTATAGATTACCTTTTAGGGGCTCTATTAGTTATCACAGATCAGGGAGAACATATGATATTTGTCCTTTTGAGACTGGCTTGTTTCATTAAGTATGATGTTATCTAGTTTCATCCATTTTGTTGCAAATGACAGGATTTCATTTTTTTACTGCTGTTTAGTATTCCATGGTGTATGTATTCCATAATTTCTTTATCCATTCTTCAGCTGATGGACGCTTGGGTTGATTCCATATCTTAGCTATTGTGAATTGAGCTGCAATAAACATGGGGATACAGATAACTCTTTCATATGCTGAATTCATTTCCGTTGGGTAAATTCCGAGGAGAAGGATGGCTGGGTCATATGATAGGTCTATATTCAGATTTCCGAGGTATCTCCATACTATCTTCCATAGTGGCTTTACTGGTTTACATTCCCACCAACAGTAGGGTACCTTTTCCCCCACATCCTAGCCAGCATTTATTGTTTGTCAATTTCTGTATGAAAACCATTCTAACAGGGGAGAGTGAAATCTCATTGTGGTTTTGATGGGCATTTCCCTGATGGAAATGTTGGCCATTTGGATTTCCTCTTTTAAAAAAATGTCTGTTTGGCCAACACCGCACTCACTAGGCTAATCCTCTGACTGCGGCACCAGCACCCCGGGTTCTAGTCCCAGTTGGGGTGCCGGATTCTGTCCCAGTTGCTCCTCTTCCAGTCCAGCTCTCTGCTATGGCCCGAGAGTGCAGTGGAGAATGGCCCAAGTGCTTGGGCCCTGCACCCACTTGGGAGACCAGGAGGAACCGCCTGGCTCCTGGCTTTGGATTGGCGCAGCATGCCAGCTGCAACACACCAGCTGTAGTGGCCACTTGAGGAGTGAACCAACGGAAAAAGGAAGACCTTTCTCTCTGTCTTTCTCTCTCTCACACTGTCTAACTCTGCCTGTCAAAAAAAAAATGTCTGTTTAAGGCTGGTGCTGTGGCTCACTAGGCTAATCATCCGCCTGTGGTGCCGGCACCCTGGGTTCTAGTCCTGGTTGGGGCAACGGATTCTGTCCTGGTTGCTCCTCTTCCAGTCCAGCTCTCTGCTGTGGCCCAGGAAGGCAGTGGAGGATGGCCCAAGTGCTTGGGCCCTGCACCCACATGGGAGACCAGGAGGAAGCACCTGGCTCCTGGCTTTGGATTGGCACAGCGCGCTGGCTGCAGCACACCAGCCATAGCGGCCATTTGGGGGGTGAACCAACAGAAGGAAGACCTTTCTCTCTGTCTCTCTCTCTCTCACTCTCTAACTTTGCCTGTCAAAAAAAAAAAAAAAAAAGTCTGTTTAAGTCCTTGGCCCGTTTCTTAACCAGGTTGTTTGTTTTGTTGTTGAGTTTATTGATCTGTTTTTCTATTCTGATTATTAATCTTTTATCAGTTGCATAGTTTGCAAATAATTTCTCCTATTCTTTCAGTTGCCTCTTCACTTTGCTGAGTGTTTCTTTTTCAATACAGAAGTTTCTCAATTTGCTGTAATCCCATTTGTCTATTTTGGCTTTGATTGTGCCTCTGGGGCCTTTTTCAAGAACTCTTTGTGCCAATGTGTTGCAGGATTTCCCCAAAGTTCTCTAACAATTTGATGATATCAGGCCATAAATTTAAGTCTTTAATCCATTTTGAGTGTATTTTTTGTAAGGTGTAAGGTAGGAGTCATGTTTCATAATTCTGCATGTGGAGATCCAGTTTTCCCAGCAACATTTGTTGAAGAGACTGTTCCTGCTCCAGGGATTTATTTTAGCTCCTTTGTCAAAGATAAGTTGGTTGTGGATGCTTGGATTGATTTCTGACTTTTCTAGTCTGTTCCATTGGTCTATCCATTTGATTTTGTGCCAGTCCCAGGCTGTTTTGATTATAACTGCCCCATAGTATTTCTTGAAATCTGGTATTGTGACACCTCCAGCTTTGTTTCTGTTGTATATAAGATTGCTTTAAATATTTGGGGTCTCCTGGATTTCCATATGAACTACAGCATCATTTTTTTCTATATCTAAAAAGAATATCCTTAATATTTGATTGGTATTGCATTGAATCTGTAAATTGCTTTCAGTAATATGGACATTTTGATGATATTGATTCTTTCAATCCTTGAACTTGGAAGATTTTTCCATGTTTTTGTGTCTTCTATTTTTTTCTTTAATGTTTTGTAATCCTCCTCATAAAGATCTATGACCTCCTTGGTTAAATTAATTCCAAGGTATTTGTTTTTTTGTAACTATTATGAAGTTCTTTCTCTCCTGTGATATTGTCTGTGTATAAAAAGCCTATTGATTTTTGTGTGTTGATTTTATATCCTGCCACTTTACGAAACTCTTTTATGAGTTACAGTAGTCTTTTAGTGGAGTCTTTTGGATCCCCTACATATAGAATCATGTCATCTGCAAATAGAGATAGTTTGACTTCCTCTTTCCTGATTTGAATCCCTTTGATTTCTTTTTCTTGCGTAATGTCTCTGGCTAAAACTTCCAGAACTATTTTGAATAGTAGTGATGAGAGTGGACATCCTTGTCTGGTTCTGGATCTCGGTGTGAATGATTCTCATTCAGTAAGATGCTGGTCATGAGTTTATCATAAATTGCCTTGATTGTGTTGAGGAATGTTCCTTCTATACCCAATTTGCTTGGAGTTTTCATCATGAGAGAGTGTTTTATTTTATCGGATGCTTTCTCTGCATCTATTGAGATAATCATATGGTTTTGTTCTTCAGTTTGTTAATGTGATATATCACATTGATTGATTTGTGAGTGTTGAACTATGTATGCATTCCAGGGATAAATCCCACTTGGTCCAAGTGGATGATCTTTCTGATGTATTGTTGAATTTGATCAGCTAGTATTTCATTGAGGATGTTTGTGTCTGTGTTCATCAGGGATATTGGTCTGTAGTCTCTTTCTCTGTTGTATCTTTTTCAGGATTAGGAATTAAGGCAATGCAAGCTTGTTAGAAGGAATTTAGGAAGATTCTTTCCCTTTCATTTGTTTTGAATAAGTTGAGAAGTATTGGAGTTAGTTCATCTTTAAATGTCTGTTAGAATTCATCCATGAAGCGATCCAGTCCTAAACATTACTTTGTTGGGATGGCCTTTATTACTGATTCAGTTTCCATCTTGGTTGTTGGTGTGTTTAGGTTTTCTATTTCTTCATGACTCAATTTTGTATGTGTCCAGGAGTCTATCCATTTCTTCTAGGTTTCCCGATTTGTTGGCATCCAGCTCTTTGTAGTACTTTCTGATACTTCTTTTGATTCCTGTGGCTTCTGTTATTACATTTCCTTTTTCATCTCTAATTTTATTGATTTAGGTCTTCTCCCTCCCTTTATTTATTAGTTGGGCTAATGATATGTCAGTTTTGTTTATTAAAAAAAAAAAACAGCTCTTCATTTTGCTGATCTTTTGTGGGGTTTTTTTGTTTCAATTTAGTTTATTTGTTCTCTAATTTTAATTATTTATTTCCTCCTACTAGTTTTGGGTTTGATTTGCTGTTATTTTTCTAGGTCCCTGAGATGCATTGATAGCTCATTTATTTGGTACCTTTCCAAATTTTCTTATGTAGGCACCAGTTGCTATAAACTTTCCTCTTAACATTGCTTTTGCTGTATCCCATAATTTTTGTATGTTGTATTGTGATCTTCGTTTGTTTCCAGAAAGTTTTTTACTTCTCGTTTCATTTCTTCAGCGATCCACTCTTCATTCAGGAGCATGTTATTCTGTTTCCATATGTTCTGGAGATTCTTGAGTTGTTGATTTCCAGCTTCATTCCAGTGTGGTCAGAAAAGATGCATGGTATGATTTCAATTTTTTTTTTTAATTTGCTGAGACTTACTTTGTGGACTAGCATGTGGTCTATCTTAGAGAAAGTTCCATGCACTGGTGAGAAGAATGTGTATTCTGCATCTATAGAATGAAAAGTTCTGTAGATCTCCATTAGGTTCATTTGGTCTATGGTGTTGATTAACTGTTGTTCCCTTGCTGATTTTATGGCTGGTTGATCTGTCCATTGCTGAAAGTGGGATCCTGAAGTCCCTCATTACTATTGCATTGGAGTCTATGTCTCCCTTTAGATCTGTTGACATTTCTTTTAAATAGTCAGGTGGCTTGTAATTAGGTACATATACATTTACAATAGTCACATCTTCTTATTGAAGTGATCCCTTAATCATTACATAGTACCCTTCTTTGTCTCTTTTAACAGTTTTCATGTTAAAGTCTATTTTGTCTGATATTAGGATGGCTACACCAGCTCCTTTTGGTTTCTGTTAGCATGGAATATCTTTTCCCATCCTTTCACTTTGAATCTGAGTGTATCTTTGTTGGTGAGATGTGTTTCTTATAGGCAGCAAATAGATGGGTTTTGTTTTTTAATCCATTCAGCACATCTGTATCTTTTATTTGGAGAGTTGAGGCCATCTACCAAGGTGACTTGATAAGTAACAACTTGGCCCTGCCATTTTCCCATAAATATTCCTGTTGTTTATTGTGGATTTCCTTTGTACTTTTACTGGGAGATTTTCTGCCTTCACCTTCTGTTGTAGTGATGACCATGTTTCTGTGTGTAGCACATCCTCAGGCTTCTTTTGTAAGGCTGGATGTGTGGTGACAAAATTCTTTCAATTTCTCTTTGTTGTAGAAGGTCTTTATTTCACCTTCATTCCTAAATGAGATCTTTGCAGGGTACAGTAT